CGCGCCCGTCCCTCTGGGCATGCGTGCCGGGGTTCTTGCGCATGCGCAGTGGGACCCGCGCGAAAATCCTTTGAAACATAGCTTGCTACAGCACCGGTTGGGTCAGCGCAGGCGCACTAAACCCATTGGTGTGAAGCACAGAGACCACGAAGAAGATCTGACAAGATGCGTCTCTTAAACATATGCTCTGGCCCTGTCCAGTTATTTGGTGTTTTCGGGAAGAAATAATCACTCATTTAAATTCTGCTTTAGAATACTTAATGATCTTAGAGGACGCTTAAGCATGTGTTTATTTATTGACATTATTTATAGTCCACCTTTCTGGCTGGGATTCCAGGCGGATTACACAGAGTGAGTCAACCCAGTCAACAGGATGGGACATTCAATAAACAAGGGAGTAGGATTTGTATTGTGGAACCAACCACAATACTGATCGACGTTTCTGATCGAGGCTTATAAGATTGTGCATGGGATAGAGCAGGTTGAGAAAGAAGTCCTTTTCTCCCTTTCTCACAATACGAGAACTCAGGGGCACTCCATGAAATTGCTGAGCAGTCGGGTTAGAACAGAGAATAGGAAGTCCTTCTTCACCCAAAGAGTGATGAACACATGGAATTCACTGCTACAGGAGGTGGCGGCGGCTACAAGCATGGACGGCTTCAAGAGGGAATTAGATAAACATATAGAGCAGAAGTCTATTTGTGGCTATTAGCCACAAGGTATAGATGGGACACTATGTCTGGGGCAGTGATGCTCTGTATTCTTGGTGCTTGGGGGGCAGCGGTGGGAGGGCTTCAGGAGTTCTGGCCCCACTGGTGGACCTCCTGATGGCACCTGAGTTTTCAGCCACTATGTGACACAGAGTGTTGGACTGGATGGGCCATTGGCCTGATCCAATATGGCTTCTCTTATGTTCTTATATAGTAACATGCCCCTCTCCCATAGATTGGAGGGGAAACCATGTAACTTGCATTCTGTGGCCCCTTCATAGGCTGTTCATTAGTTTCCAGGTTCAATTCAAGGTGCTTACCTTTAAAGCCCTTCATGACCAAAAACATGCTTAAAGGACTGCCTCTCTCTGCATGTTCTTACGCAGCAGTTGCATTCTTCCCAGCAAGGTCCATCACCACCACCTTATTTAAGGCATGTTCAGCAATAACCTAGACTTGAGCTTTCTCAGTGGCCACCTTATCATGCCTCTAGAACTGCCTCCTGGAAGAGGTCGGAGGGCTCTTACTTTCCTGGCTTTCTGATAAGGCTGTAAGACAGAGTTATTCCAGAGAGCTCTTGGGCAGCCTGAGCCTAGTCAAAAGGGGAATACTCTGCTGGCAGAAAGTGCCATCAAGTCACAGCAGACTAATGGCAACCCCACAGGGTTCTCAGTGCAAGAGGTTTCAGAGGTAGTTTGCCAGTGCCTGCCTCTGCATAGTGACCCTGGTATTCCTTGGTGGTCTCCCTCCTTGGTGGTCTCCCTGCTAGTGGGGCATAAGGAAGTGAGCGCCTGCCCACCCGGGAAGAGACTGTTTCATCAAAGGCAAAGTTGTTCCTTCCTGTTCTGCTTTTGTCATGATCCTGTCTTTCCCCCAGACCAATCCAGGACGGTGAAAGGAAAGGATCATGGACTGAGACAAAGTATTTTACACAAAAACCCAAGAGAGGTAGTCTCTCTATGGATTTACAGACACGTGCCACCAAAAATCAGCATCTGCCCATACCTGTGCTTGTGCCACTGTTGGCTCCCACCTTGTGGAACGGCCTGCCCGAGGAGGTCAGGAAAGCTCCCGCTCCCCTGGCTTTCTGGCCAACTATGCAAAACTGAACTATTCAAGAGAGCTTTTCAGCACAGGTTTTAAGAGGGCTGCACTGTACAAAATGGTTTTACAAACTTGCTCGGATATATGAATTGGGACTGCAGCTTATACTGCTGTGTATAATCTATTATACATAGGATCCTACTTAAATAATTTCGCTTTTGTTGTTGTTGTTGTTGTTCAGTCACACAGTCGAGTCCGACTCTTCGCGACCCCATGGACCAGATCACGCCAGGCCTTCCGGTCTTCCGCCTTCCTCTGAAGTTTGCTCAACTTCACGTAACCATCTCATCCTTTGCCGTCCCCGTCTTCTTTGACCTTCAATCTTTCCCAGCATCAGGGTCTTCTCCAGTGAGTGCTCCGTTCTCATTGGGTGGCCAAAGTATTTGAGCTTCAGTTTCATTATCTGGCCTTCCAGGGAACAGTCAGGGTTGATTTCTTTTAGGATTGACTGATTTGATCTTCTTGCAGTACAATTTCTCTACCGCTTACATAAGAATGTAAGAAATCCATGCTGGATCAGGCCAGTAGCCCATCCAGTCCAACACTCTGGGTCACACAGTGGCCAAAACCCAGGTGCCGTCAGGAGGTCCACCAACGGGGCCAGAACTCCAGAAGTCCTCCTACCATTGCCCCCTAAGCACCAAGAACACAGAGCATCACTGGCCCAGACAGAGTGTTCCATCTGTACCTTGTGGCTGATAGCCACTCATGGACCTCTGCTCCATATAAGAACGTAAGAGAAGCCATGTTGGATCCGGCCAATGGCCCATCCAGTCTAACACTCTGTGTCACTCAGTGGCCAAAACCCAGGGGCCATCAGGAGGTCCACCAGTGGGGCCATACCTCCAGAAGCCCTCCCACTGTTTCCCCCCAAGCCCCAAGAATACAGAGCATCTCTGCCCCAGACATAAGAACGTAAGAGAAGCCATGTTAGATCAGGCCAATGGCCCATCCAGCCCAACACTCTGTCTTACACAGTGGCCAAAACCCAGGGGCTATCAGGAGGTCCACCAGTGGGGCCAGAACTCCAGAAGCCCTCCCACTGTGGCCCCACAAGCTCCAAGAACACAGAGCATCACTGCCCCAGACAGAGTGTTCCATCTGTACCGCGTGGCTGATAGCCCCTCATGGACCTCTGCTCCATGTGTTTATCCCATCCAGTGCTCCCCCTCAGCTGAGTCAGTGTGAGCTAGCTCAGTTTTTTAGCCTCTGGCTTACACATTTTGGTCTTTTGCTCAGGAAGGGATGGCTCCAAAGCAAACTAATTTACGCAGCAGCCAAATCGCTCCCTCACAACTTTAGTGCCCGTAGCTCACAAAGTAGGATTTTTGACCACAAGACTCCACAGCTTAGAGGGAGCATTGACCCCATCCAGGGCTCCTTTTGTAGAAAAAACCCAGCAGGAACTCATTAGCATAATAGGTCACACCCAACAGCGGGAACTCATTAGCCTATTGAGCCACACCCCTGACAGCACAGCTCATTAGCACATTAGGCCGCACCCCCATGTTACCAGAAGTGTGGTCATCCAGCCACACCCACCTTTTGCTTCTTATTCTGTTTACCTTGTTTGTTGTCAAAACCCAGGGCCTTTTTTGTAGCAGGAACTCCTTTGCATGTTAGGCCACACACCCTAACCCTAATGCATCCAATCCTAATGAGTTCCTGCTGTTGGGTGTGGCCTATTATGCTAATGCGTTCCTGCTGGGCGTGGCCAACTCGGGAGCCAGCCGGAACCCCGTTCCTGTGCGTTCCGGCCCAAAAAGAGCCCTGATCCCCTCTTGAAGCTGTCCATCTTTGTAGCTGCCACCAGCATGGGATACTGTTACACTTCGGGAATCCTTAATCCAAGGGAGCACCTGAAAGGAGAGGGGAGTCCACAACTCACCTTCGCGATTTCCAGATCGATGTTGTAGAGCACCTTCTGCAGCCGGACGTTCGCCAGGTGGGGCGGCTTGCTCTCCTCCTCGGGGCTGGGGGGGTCGTCACTGTCCACGAGGAGGTGGCCCTTCTGCTCGGCCAGCGTGGCCTGCTGCCCCTCCCGCTGCTGGGCCTTGGCCTTCGCTTTCTTGCCCTTGGCCATCTTGTCCTTTTTCAGCTTAGGGGTCATCTTGGGTGAGCTCTGGGCACTGGCATGGGAGGACTCCCAGGCCAAGGTGGCGTTTTTCACCTCTATGGCGGTGAGAGGGCTGGAGGGCTTTTTCTTTACCATATGAACCTCTTCCATTAGAAACAAACTCTGATAGGAGGTTGTGAGAGAGGTGCAAAGATGAGACACCGGGTCAAGACCGGGGGGGGCAAGAGGGACAAGCCTACGGCACACGCACGCGGCAAAACACATCAGGCTATACAGTGGGAGGAAGCTGAAGAGCAAAAGGTAGCTCATTAGTGCAAACTGACTCCGGGTCCGAGAAAGGGCCTCGCTAGCCGTGAATGTGGTGGGGGCTCGGACAGAGAGGCCGGTGGAGAGGGGGCCAATTTCTGGACGCGGGCAGAGACAGAGACAGCCACGCGCTGGACGGTTTTGCCCTCAGGGGCCTTGGGGTTCTGGGGTCTGCAAGACGAGCCTCGCTCGTTACAAACGCCACAAGGCCTCGAAAGGAATGGGATTATTTCTCAGCCGACATTCGGGGAGAGGGGGGAGGCGCAATATTCAGTCGCCCAAGAGTCTGGCAACTGGTCAACACCCGGGGACGTTCAGAAACCGGGCCTCTTTTGTCGTGCCTCCCACCACATCCGCTTGCTCCAAGATACTCTTGGAAGATTCCACAATGCTCGCCAAACAACTCAGGAAAAACAGCGTGAAGACAAAAGAACAAGAAGTCTGAAAGACAGCCACACGTTAAAGTTAACCAGGATTTCAAGCAAAGTCACTATTTACCATAGGCATTGACTCCTGACGCCTGGAAGTACGAGTGTATGTTAAGGGCCACCGGGTCGCTTTCGACTTAACGGCGATCCCATAAATTAATGACCTCTAAAATGCTCGGTAATTAATTGCCTCGGTCAGGTCCTGCAAAAACTAAGGGCTTCTTTCTTTTTAACTGGAGATAGCGGAGGTTGAACCTGGGACCTTCCGGATGCCAAGCAGAGACTCTACCACTGACTCCTGACGCCTGGAAGTATGTGCATGTTAAGGGCCACTGGGTTGCTTTCGACTTAACGGCGATCCCATAAATTAATGACCTCTAAAATGCTCGGTAATTAATAGCCTCGGTCAGGTCCTGCAAAAACTAAGGGCTCCTTTCTTTTTAACTGGAGATGGCGGGGGTTGAACCTGGGACCTTCCGGATGCCAAGCAGAGACTCTACCACTGACTCCTGACGCCTGGAAGTATGAGTGTATGTTAAGGGCCACCGGGTCGCTTTCGACTTAACGGCGATCCCATAAATTAATGACCTCTAAAATGCTCGGTAATTAATAGCCTCGGTCAGGTCCTGCAAAAACTAAGGGCTCCTTTCTTATTAACTGGAGATGGCGGGGGTTGAACTTGGGACCTTCTGGATGCCAAACAAAGACTCTACCACTGAGCTATGCAGCTCTACTAAGGGCTCCTTTTCTTGAGTCAGTCCATTTTATGCTGGGTCTTCCTCTTCTTCCCGCTGCCTTTAACCTTCCCTAGCGGTAAGGTCCTTTTCAGTTAATCTTGTCTTCTGGTAATGTGAACCAAGTACGGCAGCCTTGGTTCAGCGATTTTAGCTTCTCAGGCTTGATTTGGGCTTAAATAGCTGCCCCGAACGAGCAAACTGTCAGCGCTGCCTTCGCCCCGACTCAAGACTGTATGCACATTTGCAGTTCTGCAGGGCCTGTAAGACGGAGCTCTTCCGCCAGGCATTTAATTAGGGGCCGCCGCTACTGCAGGCTCCTACTGCAGGCCGCTACAGCAGAGCCTGGCCCGTGGTCTTAACATCTAATTGACTATGAGCAGAAACATCGCGGAACATCTGGGAAGTGGAAATTTATTCCTGTAATATACCATCTAGATTAATTCAATCCGCCGCCAGCGCTTTGTATTTATAATGTTTTATTGTAGGGTCAACTATTGTGTATTTTAATGTATTTATGCTTTTTATGGAAGCCGCCCTGAGCCCGCTTGCAGGGAGGGCGGGGTATAAGTTTGATAAATAAATAAATACATTTTATTATTTATTTATTATTCCCATTAACACCTGCTCGATCTTTAGCATCCCGTACATTTCAGAAAACTAGATTCAAGCCCAGTGGCGCCCTTAGAGTCCAATAAAATGTCCGGGGGGTGTGAGCCTTTAAGAGTCGAAGCTCCCTGACAAAGGGAGGACTGAGACATGAAAGCTCGCGTCCCCAAATAATCTTGTTGGCCTCTTTAGGTGCGACTGGACCTCCGTTCGAGCTCTTCCACTCCAAGACCAATGCGGCTACCCTCTGTAACGGCACCTTAGAGAGTTTTTTAGACCAGGGGTGTCGAACTCATTTGTTAAGAGGGCCGGATCTGACATCAAGGAGACGTTGTTGAGCTGGGCCATGTGTGTCATAAAAAGTAATGCCAGGTGGCGGAGATATAAACTTTATAAAGGGCACAAACACAAAGGTTTTTTTTTACTTAAAATAAAAACACGCTTAAATCAGCACTCTTGCAACTTTTTGTTTGTTTCACAGCGTCTGATAACCGACACCTCTTGCTCTGAATGATTGCACCAAAATGTCTGTGCTGTTGCAGTCTTGAGTATGCTGTTCAGGTGTGTACCTGTAAGCTGCAAACCTACGATGACGCAGCAGCGGCAGAACTGGAAGAAGAAGCAGAAGGCAGCCAGTTCCACTGTGGGCCTGATAGAAGCCCTCCGGGGGTGCCTCGTCTGGCCCCCGGGCCACATGTTTGACGCCCCCTGCTTTAGATGCTTCTCTCAAGACCTACCACCCAAGAACGAAGGAAGTGTTTTCAAACTCTCTGTGCTGTCTGAATGCTGAAGAAAAATCACAGATCGGCCATCTTCAGTAAACGGGAAATGGCACCAGTCGGCTTTCTGCCCAAAACACCAGTGCCGAGAGTGTGCGGATCGTATACAGCACGGGTGTCAAACATAAGGCCCGGGGGCCGGAACCGGCCCGCCCAGGGCTCTTATGTGGCCCGCGAGCAACTCATGTAAGGGAGGAAACAGGAGACTGCTCAAGGGGGAGTGGGCAGAACCACTCCAATTGTGGCTTCAGCGTGGCGGAAGAGCCTCGTCTGCAGCAGTCAAGTAGCGTCGGCCCATTGCTGCACCGCTGGTTCTCCAGTCTGCCCGTATGGGTTTTCCTCTGCAGAATCTGCACCCTCCTCCCAGCCCGTGGGGCCTTGCAGTGAGGCTACACCAACTTGGAGCTTACCAGCTGCTGTCCTTTATACAGTTTATATCTCCGGTACCTGGCATTCGTTTTATGGCACATGTGGCCTGGCCTGACAAAGTGACATTTAAGTTTACTTGAATGGATACATGAGTCTTTTAGGTGTGAGCCTGCAGAACCCTGAAGTGAGATGGCATGTATCCATTCAATTAAACTTAATTTAAGTGAACGGGGATTTGAACTTGCCCAGTGCATAAGGAGCAAGTTTGCACATCAAAGCCAGGAGCCAAGTTTGCACTTCCCAAAGCCGGAAGGCCACAATTTCCAAGATTCAAATCCAGTTTCAGAGAGTAGCCATGTTGGTCTGCAGCAGAAGAACTAGATTAAGCTCCAGCAGCTCCTTAGAAACCAACGAAGACGGAGAAGTCTCCATTCCTAATTGTATCTGATGAAGGGACCTTTAATCCTCGAAAGCGCACACCCATAAATGCAGGGCTCTTTTTGTAGCAGGTACTCATTTGCATATTGCGACACACCCCTAATGTAGCCAATCCTCCAAGAGCTTACAGTAGCTCCTGTAAGAAGAGCTCTGTAAGCTCTTGGAGGATTGGCTACCTTAGGGGTGTGTGGCCTAATATGCAAAGGAGTTCCTGCTATAAAAAGAGCCCTGCTTGTTGGTCTCTCAGGTGCTTGAATCTAAGGTTCAACACCGGTCAGTCCACAGGAACTACAAACACGGCAGGGAAAAGTATTCCATCATAAAATAATGTGAATCCCACCCCCACCCGTGTTCCCTCTAAGCTGAGTCAGTGCGAGCTAGCTCACAGTTTTTTAGCCTCCGGCTCACACACTTTTGTCTTCGCTCAGGAAGGGACGGCTCCAGAGCAAACTGATTTATGCAGCGGCCAAACCGCTCGCTCACAACTTTAATGCCGGTAGCTCACAAAGTAGAAACTTTGCTCACAAGACTCCGCAGCTTAGAGGGAGCACTGACCCCCCACTCCCAACTATGCTCATGATTAAAGGTATCAACCCCACTAACAGAACATCGCCAAAAAAGGCCACAATCACTCACCTTAAATCGGTCAGCGGCAACAGAGGCTTCGGACAAAGACTTCACAGAAAACGGGGTGACTTTCAGAGCAAAGGTCATTGAATTGAACACTGTGACCACCGTAAAAGCCTGAAAAACACGGTTGGGAAGGAATGCTTTCAGTCGCGGTATCTACCGAACAGCTCAATAAATTCAGGGACAGCTAGTCAGCGGCGGTAGGCAAAATAGTACTTGAACTATAAAACTGGGAAATTTGGCAATTTGAGACGCCTGCTGACTGAGTGACTGTAAACCAGACATTGGGCAACAAGTATCACTTCATCGAGCCCATCTATCACATTTAAGATTTTACTGAACAGTGAAACAGTTACTAAATGTGGTGTCTAATTCTTCACCCAAAGAGTGATTAACACTTGGAATTCACTGCCACAGGAAGTGGTGGCGGCTACAAGAATGGACGGCTTCAAAAGGGAATTAGATAAGCATATGGAACAGAGGTCCATCAGTGGCTATTAGCCACAAGGTATAGATAGGGGCTCTGGGGCAAGTGATGCTCTGTCATCTTGGTGCTTGGGGGGGGGGTCAACAGTGGGAGGGCTTCTGGTGTCCTGGCCCCCCTGCTGGGCCTCCTGATGGCACCTGGTATTTTTGGCCATTGTGTGACAGAGTGTTGGACTGGATGGGCCTTTGGCCTGATCCAACATTGGCATCTCTTATGTTCTTATGTTCCAAGATTCTGGTTAAATAACTTTCAGGTTTTGAATACCTGGTATATCTGGATCAGGTTCATCAGTTTCGCTGAACAAATTACACCAATAAAGAGAGTGACGAGGATGATCAGGGGTCCGGAGACCGAGCCCTACGAGAAAAGGCTGAGGGCCCTTGGGAATGTTTAGTTTGGAGAAGAGGAGACTACTGGGGGACATGATCAGTGTTCCCTCTAAGCTGAGTTAGTGTGAGCTAGCTCACAGGTTTTTAGCCTCTGGCTCACACATTTTTTGTCTCAGCTCAGGGAGGAGGGCTCCAGAGCAAACTAATCTATGCGGCAGCCAAATCGCTCGCTCACAGCTTCAATGCCCGTAGCTCCCAAAGTAGAATTTTTGCTCACAAGACTCTGCAGCTTAGAAGGAATACTGGACATGATTGCTCTCTTTAAGTATTCGAAAAGCTGTCATTTGGAGGAGGGCAAGGAGCTCTTCCAGTTGGCAGCAGAGGACAGCATCCGAAACAACGGGTTTAAATGACATGCAGGAAGGGATCGGCTGGATATCAGGAAAAACCTTTTCACGGTCAGAGTGGTTCAGCTGCCTAGGGAGGTGGTGAGCTCCCCTTCACTGGCAGCTTTCAAGAAGAGGCTGGACACATATTTGCCAGAGATGCTCTAGGCTGGTCCTGCATTGGGCAGGAGGTTGGACAAGGTGGCCCGTATGGCCCCTTCCAACTCTATGATTCTATGAAACTAAAAAGTTTTAATTGGATTGCGAATAAATGTGCAATTTATTGTTACTGGTTTGAATTGTATTGTTATTATCTTCCTCACTGGGTTGTGCAAACTGCTCTTCTGGATGAAGCTTTTTATAGAGTAGGGGGCAATAAGTTTATGGTACCGGGGGGGGGGGGGAGGGGGCTAGGGGAATTTTTTATTGGTTTTTTTCACAAACTACAAACTATAACTAAAGATATAGGAAGGGGAACTACATCTAAGGAGAAAGAAAAGACCCACTAATAACTAAAAACCCAAGAGTAGGAGATCAATACATCAGCTTATCTCAATGTTATTCTAAAATGCTAATAATACATTGAACATAGTAGGTTACGCTAGGTTAATTATCTTTTAAAAAGGTAAAGGTTCCCTTGCTCGATAGCCAGTTGAATCCGACTCTAGGGTTGCGGTGCTCATCTCCGTTTCAAAGCCGAAGAGCCAGCGCTGTCCGAAGACATTTCTGTGGTCATGTGGCTGGCATGACTAAACACCAAGGCGCACGGAACGCTGTTTTAGCCACCTTTTAGCCACCACTTAAATGTTTAAAGAAATCCCCAGAGCATCCCAAAGTTATTTCAGAATTTTCAGGCACAAATCAGATTCCTCAGCCACTATTTATTCTTATCTTTTCTTATCCTCAATTTATATGGACTTTTGCGGGCAGCCGCCCCCATTTCAGAGAAAGAGTCCTCGTCAGAAGTCACGGAGTCCAATTCGCCATCCGATTTGCTTTCTTCTTCTTCCTTCTTGTCCTCCGCTGGTTCCCCCAGCTGTATTCACAGAAACTCACGTGCTTTAGGAACAGAGTCAATGTTTTCTTTTTTGTCGTGGAGCTTGAAAATGATGCCTTCTGGAATCAACCATCTATAACTGATGCCATTTGTTTGTAAGAAAAGGATTAAGTCTTTATACTTCTTTCTCTTCTGTCTTATGTCAAATGGGATATATTTTAAAATCCTGATATTGTTGTCCCCAGTTTTCAAGGGTGTTCCCATAGTTGCTTTCAAAACAGAATCTCTCACATGTCTCTTCGAGAATCTGACTACTATTTCCCCAGGCAGATTGTTTTTCTTGAGGTGTGAGGAATAGGACTTGTAGACCACATCCATCTTGCTGTAAAGATAATCCGCTGTCAAATCTGTCATTGGGGCTATTGCTTCACACAGCCATTGCTTCAGATTCTCTCCTTTAATTTCCAGGACCCCTTGAAACCATAGGACCAAATTTGCTTTCTCCATTTGCAGCTGTAGAAGTTGTGACTCTTCCGTTGCTTGTTTCATTTCCAGCTTTTGCACCTTTTTCTTAACTTTTTTAGTACTGGCGTCCATTTCCTTCACCTTCTCCGTCATTTGCTCCGTTGCTTTTAAAGATTGAGTCAATTGTAGCTGCTGTGAAGCCAAGCTCTGAACAATTGTTGACAATTGTTCCTTGATATTGGTCATCTCGTCGAGCAGAGGGTGCAAGGAATCTGCCAGCATTTTGGAAAGCTCAGTGGTCTCTTCCGTTCGAGGACTGCCCACTAGTTTCGCTTTCAACAGTTTGTCCTTATCCAGTTTCTTTCCTGCCGTCTTCTTGGATTTGTTTACTTTTCTGAAAGTTGCTAAAGTCTCTGATATTCATCCTAACACTTATCTGCGCTCTGGTAAGTCTCTTAAAACAGGTTTAAATGCTTATTTTTCCGCTCCCCCCTCTTTATTTCCGTGTTTCGTCTCTGCGTTTGGGAGGGGCCCCTCCCCCACTCACCTTCCGTCACTCATTTAGGGGGGTGCTGGGACTATTTTCAAGCGAAGCATAAGCCCTTCATGATAGCCAAAGCCCCACAACCAGCCTGAATTCAGTTGGTGAATGGAAACACCCCCAAAAAAACCAAACCCTTCTAAGAAAGGAAAGCAAAAGCATCCCTCCTTTTCCGGCCACAATGCAGGACACATAAATTGCACTTGGCAAGCTCCATTGCTTGCCACAGTAGCCCTGACCCCTTTCCGAGTCCACCTTGTCACCGTTCCATGAACCTCAGCAGGGAGAGGTTTGCAGGCTGTCAACAGGGGTTGGACTCGATGACCCTAGAGGTCCCTTCCAACAGTATGAGTCTATAAACCCTTTTAAGAAATAAACAAATAGGGAGGGGCTTGCAAACCCTTCAGCCGGAGCCTGCTCCGGCGTGGAGGGCGGGGTAGAAATTGGATAAATAAATAAATAATCCCCTCCTCAATTCCCACAGCAAAAACAGTAACAACTCAGAGGATTCCCAGAAGGCCACACACCGTTCGTTTCCATATCTGAAATCCACATGCAGATCTGAAACGACAGATTACCTGAGCAGCTGTGAGGTCATAGCCGAGGAACATGTGGACAGAGAAGGTCACCACGCTGGCAATGACGACGACTATGGGAGCCACTCCCACGGTGATGCTCTGGAAGTAGCCTGCCCGTTCCAAGATTCTGCGTTCCTCTTCTCTGATTTCTGTTAATGTGGAGTACACAAACACACACACAAATGAAGCCATATTCAAAGCGGCAAGGCACACACACACAGCAATGCAGATATGTTTGCCAGTGGCTACTGATCACGGTGACTTAAGAGAACCTCCGAGTTCAGAAGCAGCAAATCTCTGACTGCCAGTTACAGAAAGCAACATCAGCAGAAGACCTCAACCTCCATGCCCTAGTGGCTCTCCAGAGGAACTGGTTGGGGCCACTGTGTGAGACAGGATGCTGGAATAGACAGACCACTGGTCTGATCCAGCTGGGCTCTTCTGAGGGTCTTATGAAGGCCTCAGCCTCTCTGCCATGTTGTTGTCCCTCCAGAGGAACTGGTTGGGGCCCCTGTGTAAGGAGGATTACCATAAATAAATTACACGCCGTCCACTACTATATATCCGAAGCAAATGCATACACTTCCATTTTAAGTCAAAATGCATATACTGACATTTTAAGACAGCGCAGGCATGATTAAATGCCTTTCCTTCCCTTCTCCAAGTTTGAGGAGGGAAGGAAAGGCATTTAAACATGACTGCACTGAGTTTCCCTTCCCTGCCTGAGTCTCCCCACAACGACATAGAGCAGGGGCGTCGAACTCATTTGTTATGAGGGGCGGATCCGACATAAATGAGCCCTTGTCGGGCCAAGCCATGTGGGTCATGAAATGTAATGCCGGGTAGCAGAAATATATACTTTATAAAGGACACAAAGTTTTTTTTAAAACTTAAAATAAAAAACATGCTTAAAACATATAGCACAGTGTCTGATAACTGACACCTCCTGCTCTGAATTGTTGCATCGAAATGTTTGTGCCGTTGCAATCTTGAGTATGCTATTCGGGTGTTTATCTGTAAGCTGCAAGCCTACGATGACGCAGCAGCAGCAGGACTACAAGAAGAAGCAGAAGACAGCCAGTTCCACTGTGGGCCAGATAGAAGCTCTCCGGGGCCTGATCTGGCACCCCTGAGATAGAGGCTCAGG